GAACAAGAGTTGCCCAAACTGACTGATGTAGTTCTATACTTCAGATATGAAGAGAACCAGTCCAAGGCTAGACCCTGGATACCAGCGTGTTCTCTAAGATGATTAATGAGGATGTCATGGTCCACTGTATCAAAAGCAGCAGTGAGATCCAATAATAGAAGAACAGGGCTACCTGAACCAAGCTCCAACAAGACATCATTTGAAACCCACAATAGAGCGGACTCTGTGCTATGACCAGCTCTAAACTGACTGAAATTTATCAAAAACATTATTATTAAACATGAAATCATTCAGCTGTACAGAAACAATCTTCTCCAAAACCTTTGAGATAAAAAGCCAGATATACAGGATCTGCTCTGGTTTACTGTCCAGTAGTCCCTGCCTTGGCTTTATCCTCCTCTCTGTCCACCTGCCTGTCAGTTTCCCCCTCACCATCTGTCCTGTACCCTGTCATTGTTTCATTAAGCTGCCTCTCCCCCATCACCCTTGTCCACTGAAACCCATCCAGCTGCTGAACTCACTCTTGTTTCGTGTTTTCCTCTGAGGATTATCTGGAATCTTCTCCTAGAAGGGAGCTGTGTCACGGTCCTGGTTGTCCTGTCCTTGTACTGTTGTGTTTTCCTTGTGTTCTCTGTGTTCACCCCAGTTTTCCCCATGTTACCCTTGTTAGTTACCCAGTTACTCTCCACCCCCTTGTTAACACACTATTCTCTGTGTGTTTAAGCTCCCCTGTTTCAGTCATTATATGTTGATCATAGTTTGCTGTATGTGTGTGTGTTTCTCTTGCTTGTGTTTTCTGCTCTTCAGCTCTGTCAATATTTTTGTGTATGGATTTTATTTAACATTAGAACTGAACCTAGATCCAGCTCTTGCATTTGTCTTACCTGCCTGCACATTTAAAAGAAGATATTATAAAAAAGATGGTTGTATGGCGGTTAATTGGTAAACACTTTCGCCTAACAACAAGAAGGTTGCTGGTTTTAGTCCCAGCACCAGTTTCCCCCACAGTGTGGAGACATTTGGTATAGGTGAATTGGGTGAACAAAACTGACCATAGTGTACGAGTGTGTGTGTGTGTATGTGTGTGTGTGTGTCTGTGTCATTGTTACCTAATAATTATCAGCATAGATATGAGTCAAAATAGACAGAATGGAGAAAACATCAGTGTGATCATTCCACTCCAGTCCAGAAAGGACTTTAAAGGTGCTGTATCATTTTATAGCTGACTTGTGTGCAATTTAGACGATAACAGCCATGTCACCCTCAAGCCCAAGACCGGTTACTTCCTGGAGCTAAGCAGGGCTGAGCCTGGCCAGTACCTGGCTGGGAGACCACATGGGAAAACTAGGTTGCTGTTGGAAGTGGTGTCGGTGAGGCCAGCAGGGGGCGCACATCCTGGGTCTGCGTGAGTAATAATGCCCTAGTGAAAGTGAACGGGACACTACACTGTCAGTGGGCGCCGTCTTTCGGATGAGACATTAAACCGTGGTCCTGACTCTTAGTGGTCTTTAAAAATCCCATTGCATTTCTCGTAAAGAGCAGGGGTGTAACCCCGGTGTCCTGGCCAAAGTCCCTCAATTGGCCCTTACGATCATGGCCTCCCAATCATCCCCATGTCTTTTTATGACAGCTAAACACCATTAGCTATTGACCTACGAGGTAGGAAAACCAACTGGTGTGTAAGTCAATGGTTACAGGTTTCAGCTTTCTTTAAATTATCTTCTTTTGTGTTCAACAGGAGAAAACAAAGTTTTAGAAAGGTTTATATCCATGAAGAGTGAGTAAGAATTAGTAAATTCACTTTTTGGGTAAACTTACCCTTAAACAACCACTGCCAAAACATGAATCTGAATGTTATTTAAAAAACACTATAACATTACATAATGAACAATTATTAATGTATTTTGCAGTTTAGTTGATATCAATAATGTTCATGTTCATTAACATGATGTCATGTCATTTCTTATTTTCATCCGCTTATCCATTGCCGGGTTGCAGGGGCAGCAGTCTTAGGAGAGAACCCCAGACTTCTCTCTCCCCAAACACTTGCACCAGCTCCTCCGGGTGGATCCTGAGGCATTCCCAGGCCAGCCGAGAGACATAGTCCCTCCAGCTCGTCCTGTGTCTTCGCCGAGGCTTCCTCCCGGTGGGACAGATGCCTGAGCCAACTCTGCTGACTTCTGCTCTTCAGTGTTTGAACTCTCAGCAGTGAAAAGTAAACCACACTGAACTGAACTAAACTGAACTTCAACACAAAACTGAACTGACACTGTTTCAATTTACTATGATCTTCTATGTGAAGCTACTTTAACGCAATCTACATTGTTAAAGTGCTATAGAAATAAAGATGAATTGAATTGTTGATGTCGAGGAGCAGTGGCTCTACTCTGAGCTCCTCCCATATGGCAGAGCTCCAGACCTTGTTTATAAGGGTGCGCTCTGCAACCCTGCGAAGCAAACTCATTTTGACTGCTTGTATCTAAAATCTTGTCCTTTTGGTCATGACCTAAAGCTCATGACCATTAACATAATATACTGTATTATTTAAATTCAGGAAAAGTCTACTTCTTAGATGAAAAAAAGAAGCACTTTGACTTACAGAGCTCTTTTGGAGTTTTTGATGACTGCTGATAGTCTGATGAGACACTCGTCTGATCTCTGGAATTTCTGAAGCTCAAACTCCTCCAGCTCCTCCTCTGAGGTCAACGACACAAAGACCAGAGCAGACCACTGGGCAGGTGAAAGGTCAGCAGATGACAGACTTCCTCTACTGAGGTGAGACTGAATCTCTTTCAGCAGAGTTTGGTCGTTCAGTTCATTCAGACAGTAGAACAGATTGATGGATCTCTCTGGAGACAGATTCCATTCAAGTTTCTGCTTGATGTAGGCAATTATTTCCTCTTTGCTCTGGTCTCTGTCATCCTGCTGTGTCAACAGGCCTCGTAAGAGTTGTCGATTAGACTGGAGAGACAGACCGAGAAGGAAGCGAAGGTAAAGATCCAGATGCCCATTCTCACTTTCCAGAGCCTTGTCCACTGCAGCCTTCAGCAAATCAATCATGTCTTTATTTTTGCTTTTCTGTTTAAAAAAACATTCATTCTTCTTGTCTCTGTCTAGAATCAGATGTTGATAAAGGGCTGCAATGAACTCCTGAACGCTCAAGTGAAGAAAGCAGTACATGGTACCAAGTATGATACCCGTCTCCTCCTTAAAGATCTGGGTACACATGCCTGAGTACACCGATGCCTTGTAGACGTCAATGCCACAGTCTTTCAGATCGCTCTCATAGAAGATCACATTGTTTCTTTCCAGCTGCTGGAAGGCCAGTTTCCCCAGTGAAAGGATGAAGTTTGGATCCCAGGAGACATCTGGTGTGTTTTCTCCATCATACTTTCTTCTGCTTTGCTGGATCTGAAAGCGGAGAAAGTGTGTGTACATCTGTGTCAGAGTCTTGGGAGATTCCTGCAGTGTTTCAGCATGAGCCCTGTGTTTCAGTTTCAGTATGTTCTGGAGAACAGTGGCTGAAATCCAGCAGAAGACTGGGATGTGGCACATAATAAAGAGACTCTTTGACTGTTTAATGTGATCAATGATTTCTCTGGCCTGATTCTGATCTGTGAGTCTCTTTCTGAAGTACTCCTCCTTTTGGGCATCATTGAATCCTCGTATCTCTGTCAGCCGGTCGATACAGTCAGCAGGAATCTTACTGGCAGCTGCTGGTCTGCTGGTGATCCAGATTAGAGCAGAAGGAAGCAGATTTCCCTTGATGAGGTTCGTCAGGAGAACATCCAGAGAGACTGCTGAAGATACATCACCACACGTCTCATTACCAGCAAAGTTCAGAGGAAGACGACATTCATCCAATCCATCAAGGATGAACAGGACTTTGAATCGTGTGCTTCTTGTAAGGTTCAGTCCTTTAGTCTCTGGGAAAAACTGAGTTATGAGGTCTTTTAAACTTTGTCTTTCTTTCTCCTTTAAGTTCATCTCTCTGAATGGAAGAGGAAATATGAAGCTGATGTCTTGATTTTCTTTCCCTTCAGCCCAATCCAGAACAAACTTTTGCACAGAGACTGATTTCCCGATGCCAGCAACTCCTTTTGTCAGGACAGTTCTGATCTGCTCGTCTTGTTCAGCTGCTTCAAACAAATGTTTGCATTCAACTTGTATCTCTAGTGACTGATGACGTCTGGAAGCAGCTTCAATCTGTCTGATCTCATGTTCAGTGTTGACCTGTTCACTCGCACCCTGAGTGATATAGAGATCTGTGTAGATGTTATTCAGAAGTGTGGAGTCTCCCTGCTGAGCAATTCCTTCAAACACACTTTGATATTTCTTCTTCAGGCTACATTTAAGCTGATAAACGAAGAACAGCTCATCTAAACACAGGAGCAAAGAAAAAGAGAGATTTAGTCTTGACTTATTTGTAAGTGACAGTCTGACAGATCACCATGAGTAGGGCCAGACAGAACTTTCAGACTTTTTTTGCTATTTCTGAGAATTGTGTAGTATCATAACTAAAAAGTTAATATATGAAAAAAAACTTTTAAACATAAAAATAATAATATTTAATATTTACAATACAAATCCAATTAGATCCACTTAATTGTTAAAAGCACAAGTCTCGTATATAACAGATCTACTAAAGGACAGAAAATATGACTCTACCAACTGTATTGTAAATAAATCATATGAACATTTTTATATTAGTCAACAATATCACTGAAATTAAATAAAAACTGAATGAATATAATTGAACACACATCTACACAAGTAAATAAATAGGCTCAATGATGGACTAAAAATCTGTTGAAATCTGCAGGTTTCGTGTATGTCTATCCATGAGTCTCTTACCCACGAGAGTATCAGCAGCTTGAACTTGCTTCATCTCTCTCAGGAAGAAGAGTGTGAGATCAAGAGCTGCTTCTGTGATTCTGCTTCTGTTCTCATTAAACTCCTTTACAAACTCTTGTCTGTTTTCTTCTTGTAAGATTTTCCTAAACTTTTCCAGTTCATTCTTCACAAATCTGATCATTTTGCTCTCAAGATTCTATGAGTGAAGAAAAGAGAAGATCAACTTTTAACCAACAGATTCATTCACACAGAGTTGTACATCCACAACCTCCTCAATAAATGAAAATATATAATAATACAGTATACTACTGGTCTGTTAAATGCTTGATTCTGATTAGCTGATGAATATTCAAAGGTTATTTTCAGATAAACACACAGTTAAAGTACATCCAAGCAGGTTTTGAGCACATTACACTTTAGGGGTTCACACACCAGATGAGGAGCTCAGCGCTGCAACATGGCCTGCACATGACAGCTGGAAGTATCACACACCAGCAACACACATTCACGTTATTGAAAATAAAACTATCCAGATGGCGGTCCTGTGGTGCAACAGAAATATGAAGTGTCCTGCGTCATAGCTACCCAGCCAGCAATGACATGTGGGGCACGGATGGGTAAAGTACGGATTCCATGGGAACTTTGGGGGCATGGGCTTTGGCTGGGTGAAATCAGCGGATCCTATGAAGGTTTTGTAGTACAAGTCCCACATAGGAAGCCCAAATGAGCTGATTACATGGGCCCCATAAGGGACAGGCATGGGCCAAGTGGGCATGGGTTTGGTCTGGGAACACATATATGGGTCTTGCATGACATATTTACAGGGTTCTTACACCTTTTCTAACTTCAAATTCCAGCACTTTTCAAGCACTTTCAAGGTGCATTTTTATGCTTTTCCAGCACCTAACAACCGCAGTAAATTACGTTTATATTTGGTGTATGTACTTTTCCACATTTAAATCCATAATTTGTGCTATTTTACAAAACACAATATAACATTTCAAATTAAATTGTTGAATACTTGAGCATAGATTTATTGGAACAGTTCATCCAAAAAATGGTAAAAAAATAATAATAATAATTCAGTTATTGGATGAAGTATCTTTTTAAGTTTGGTCTTTTTCTACCTAAAGTTGATTTGTCAAAAATGAACTTACAGTCAGATTTTGTTTGAGTGTAGTACCAAACTTTCAAGACCAGACGTTCATGATATTTCATGTGCATTGCTATTTAAAATTCCTGTAACAAATTGAATCCTTACGAGTCTGAGAATATCCTTGCTGCAAATCAATGAACTCTTCCTCTGTCAACTATTTTGAAAATTGGTCACCAAATATGGAAACCATAGTTTGCAAGCTTTCAAAAATTAATATTCTTTTCAGCTTAGTCCCATTGTTAATTAAGGGTCACTACAGCAGAATGAACCGCCAACTTATCCAGCATATGTTTTACACAGTGGATGCCCTTCCACCCGCAACCCAACACTGGGAAACACCCATACACTCTTGCATTCACACAGATACACTATCCAATTTAGCCTATTCAATTCACCTATAGCCCATGTGTTTGAACTGTGAAGGGAAACCAGAGCACCCAGAGGAAACTCATGCGAACACAGGGAGAAATTCCACACAGAAACACCAACTGACCCGGCTGGGACTCAAAGCAGCAACCTTCTTGCTGTGAGGCGAACATGCTACCCACTGTGACACCATGACGCCGAGCTTTCATCAATATTACTTTTTATTTTTGTCAACATTACTTTAGGTTAGGACTAAGGTACTGTTGTAACTGTATGCAAATGTCCAACCTGTCAAATTGTGACAGTTAAGGGGTTAAAGGAAAACATGTTTAATGGTTCAAAAGGTATCAACTCTCTGTATAAGTCTTTATATAACCTATCTATAAATGACAAATAATCACCAGACTAGGGATGTGCACAATTATTCGATTAATCGAACGCATCAGCGACAATCGAGCATGAAAACAATGATTGATTGGCTCTAAAATTAAATTACTTTCATTCTTTCTGATTGGTTATGCTGGTATTTGCGCTGTAATTTGATATTTGATTGGTTATGGTTGCAGGGAGTAGTTGCGGTCTAGAGGCGAGACTTGAGCGCAGACCAACATAGGGGGGTCACACACCAGCTTTATTTTATTTACTTCCACCGACTGATCACTGATCACCGACTGATTACCTATAGCTATCGTAAAAAATATTCAGGCTATTTTTGTTTTAAGTTTACGCAGCCAAATTTTGCTAGCTTCTAATTTTAGTTAGGCTGTGCTACTTAACAGTCGTTTGGTTAAGTTTTGGTGAAACTTTATTTTTGCGAACCTTTTACAAAAAAAAAAAAAAAAAAAACTTTTTTGATCCACATCTGTTGTGATGCTGCTGAAGTAAAATAAATATTTTTAATAAAATAACTGAAATGCAGAGTATCGTGTGTTTTTATTGCTGTTGTCTACAATATAGAAAAAGGTAGGCTATAGTTTTAAAACGGATACAAAATATTTCTATAAATAATAAGACACATATTGAAGGGGTTAATACTGTAAAATAACTGTTTTCTTTTTTCTGCGGGGCTTCAGTTGCCGTTGTTTTAAAGCGCCCAACGGGAGAACCGCATCCACTACATTCTGGTTGGCCTGTAGATCAAGCTCACATGCATTTTGTGTAGATAAACACAATTTGTAATATAACATTTTCATATTGTGTCTCTGGGCTTTATTATTAATTTTATTTACAATGCGTCATATAGAAAACCTATACATGCCTCAAGTCAGTGGCGGTTCTAGTTTAAAATGGGACCCTGATCGAACCACCAGAAATGTACTTAGAAATAAATAATAATCTTTATTATTATTATTTTTAATATTATACAATTTTTATTCTAAATATATAATAACAGAAATCCATCCTACATGTAGCCTAACTGAAAGAAATGTAAAGACACAACTAAAGTGATATGCTAAGATCTCTTAAGAAATCTTTTGCTTGAATATTAAAGACAAATCTATAGAATACAAAAAAAAATCTTTTATGTAGCCTAATTATCTGTTGTCTTAGACCCGACACATGGCTGAGAATTAATGTTAAGTCTTACCTCCCTGATTCATCATCTCTTCTGCTTCATAGCCATATAGTCAAAATAAGATCATTATCATCAGTTACTCCGGTTACACAGTACATAAGTACACAATACATTTTATCGCCGTGCATGTATACAGCCGGTATTCAGACCGGGAGCGGAGCAGAGCAGAGCAGCGCGTGAGGCGCACGGGAATGGTTTTCTGCGCGCATGATTTCGGCTGGAGGTCTGCAAGCAGGGCCGGATTAACCAATGGGCCTTATGGGCACAGGCCCAGGGGCCCGTGTGCACTAGGGGCCCCTGCGAGCGGGGAGAAAAAAAGACAATTTCGGAGTGTCTTTTTAGGCTAATTACAAATAGCGCATCTAGTTGGAATCTAGTTGTAATAAGCTATTCAGGGTTTACGCCCATCGATGCCTGATTGATAGAGACAAGATGAGTAGAGAGCTGTTAAGCAATACAGCCTCAGTGGCGCACCTTGTAAGGTGCGCAGCTTCATGTTTTGATGCTATTAAACATCAACTCGGTTCGAATCCACCATCAGCTGAACTCGTGCTACTTTTTTTTTCTCCCCGTTACATATCAGATTGGAAATATATTTATTTTTGACAGGAAGGAAACATTTTTTTAAAATAATGCAAATGTGATATAAAGTTACAAGTGTCTCGTGGGTATTTAACAATGTTTAGCCTTATAGGTGCCTCCCTCTCTGCAAAAACTATATTGCTCAGACAACTGTATTTCTGTTGTAAATGAGGGCGATGCCAATCCTCTTGTGCACCACCAGAGGGAGCCATCGCCAGAATTCTAATTCGACTTACGGAATCAAACTCCCATAAGCCCTGCTACCTGGCACTGATTGCGGTCCAGGTGCAGCTCATCAGCTCTCGTGTATATATACCACACTCACGCTCTGGTTCTTTGCGAAGTCTTGATTTGCCTGGCTGTCATTTCTGAGCGTTCCATACTCCCTGCTTCGGACTGATCTGTGTTTCTGACCCTGTGCTTGTTCTACGATTACGAAAGACATCTGCCTGCCCCTGATCTCCAGCCTGTTATTTTGACCAGTAAGATATCTGCCTGCCTTTGAACTTTTGCCTGTCCCACGTTCTGTCTCCTGGATTGCCCCTTTGTGTTTGTATGTATGTGTGCTTTTAATAAAGCTTGCAAATGGATTCAATGCCTTCTGACTCATCACAACAGAAGACTTCGCCACTACAGAATCCAGCAGCTTTAGCACAAGTTTCTACTGAACTTTCCGCTCAAGCCACTCAGTTAGCCACCCATCATCAACAACTCACCCATCTAACATCTCTCACGGAGAAACTGGTGAGAGCTATGCAACAACTCCGTCATCCGAATCCTGCAGTTACCCCGCCTGCTACCATGACAGCTCCTCAGCCAACGCATGTCTCCAGTGCTCCGGCTACCGTAAGTCCCCAATTAGCTTTTCCTGAAAAGTTTGATGGTTCACCTTCTCGCTGCAAAGGCTTCCTATTACAATGCAAACTATTTGTTAACCAACAACCTGCATTATATCCCACTGATTCTAGTCGGGTGGCTTTTGTATGCAATCTGTTAACGGGGAAAGCGCTGGAATGGGCTACAGCGATATGGAAGGAGGAGGAATGTAACTACCCCACGTTTGAAAATTTTCTCAAGCAGTTTCGGGAAGTGTTTGAGCACCCAGCAGAGGGGAGAAGCCCCGGTGAGCAGTTACTTTCTCTTACCCAGGGGTGTAACACAGCTGCAAAATACGCCTTGTCATTTCGCACTCTCGCCGCTCAAACTAACTGGGTTGAGGACACACTGAAGACATTATTCAGACGGGGTCTGACTGCCACTCTACAATCTGAATTGGCTTGCCGTGACGAAGGAAAGAAATTGAACGAACTCATTGAACTTACCATCCGTCTTGATCATCTGATTCGCAGCCGTAGAAATCCTCGCACACAGCTCCACGTTTCAGGCGATACGCCCCCTGATGAACCCATGCAACTGGGTTTCACCCGTCTTACCCATGAGGAAAGAATGCACCGATTGCAAAATCATCTATGCCTGTACTGCGGCCAATCAGGGCACAGGAAATCCACCTGCAGCG